CTTTGTAGCATGTAGATCAGATCTGATCGTCTTCCTTACGTGCAGCCGTCTAAAGGCCCTTCCTTTTCCAGGTTCCAGCGCCGCCCTGGGAAGACCCCGAGGCCAGTCCCCTGCCCGACGGCTTCTCTGCAGACACGCGTCTCTCTCTTCCTCGCCTGCCCCTCTGCCGACACCGGCTGGCTCTCCGCCTCATCTCAGGTATCACCCCCAGGAAGCCCTCTGGGTTGAATGAGATCATGTGATGTCATAACATAATGTGACAGGAAAGAGGAAATGTGAGGGGACGTGACACACCGTGTCGTAACCGGCCTCTCCTTCCTCTCCCACAAGACTGGTGACCTTAGAGAGGGGACTTTTACCTCCGGGCGCAGCGTCTGGCACGGAACGGCCGCTCACTGACTGAGGAGGCGTAGAGGCGGGGAGAATAAAGCCAGGCAAAGGCCGGCATCTCCAGGTTTCCTCCTAGGGATGCGCAGCCCTCGGACGTAGGAGCTGTCACTCGGCGAGCAACGCGTAGTCACTCTCCTTTGCACTGTTGTCTCCGCTCAGCCATCCCACTGGCAAGTGAATCTTTTTAAAAACGCGCTTCAGTGGTACCACCTCCTCACTCAGAACTCCGTTACGGGAGAGTGAGGTCCTCCAGCCTGCAGGCCGGGGCCTCCTCACACCACCCAGCCACCGGCTCACACGGCTCTCTAGATCAGCGGTTCTCAACCTGTGGGTCGTGACCCCTTTGGCGGTCGAACGACCCTTTCACAGGAGTCACCCAAGACCATCCTGCATATCGGGTATTTACATTACGATTCATAACAGTAGCAACATTACAGTTATGAAGTAGCAACGAAAATAATTTTATGGTTGGGTCACAACATGAGGAACTGTATTTAAAGGGCCAGGAGGTTGAGAACCACTGCTCTAGATGCCCTGAGTGCCATTTGTGTTCTAGAACGCAGGGATTATCTTGCTGGTGAATGGAGTTATTTAAGAGGCCCCGTGGCAGAAGCGCACCTACAATGTCAGCTAAGACCTGTGACACCTGTGGGTCCCCGTGAAGCCGTCCAAGAAGAAGGCCTTGCCTTGTGCCTGCTGGGAGCTGACGGTCCGGCTGGGTGCAGCACGGGAGGTCACGAGAGAGCAGGAATGAGCCCGTCACCAGGCAGCGTGTGATCAGTGGCCACAAAAGGGCCCGAGAACGGGATGGGGATTAAACAGGAGGATGCGTGTGAACGTGCCTCGCGCCTCCACACCTCCTGGCCCAGGCGGGCCTGCTGTGGGCTCTCACACAGGACTAAGCTCCACTTCCTGCTCCCCAGGGACCTGGCCACCCCCCGGCCTCACGTGCCCACCCCGCCGGGGAGCCAGCTGCTGAGAGAGTGAGGGGGACGCGCCGTGAGGTTTAGTTAGCACCCAGGGTCCCCGAAACACACCCCGTCTCCCTCCCGGGTCTCACCTGTTCCTCCTTTAAGCCTCTTCTCTTCCTTCACAATTCAGCCCAGGCTGAGTTGCCGCTCCCTCGTTAAAGGGTTTGTGCATGTGACATGGGCAGAGAGAGTCCCCCGTGGAGCAACCCAGAGCCGGTGACGGCTGGCACCTGGGCCCTTCTCTCCAGCAGAGCAGGGCAGTGAGGGGCTCACGGTGGCTGGAGCCGTGGGCATGTTGCAGGGTGGAGGGAAGGCCCTGAGAGCTCAGAGCTCCCTGCAGGGGAGGCCTCACAGGCACTCGTGTGTCTTGTGGGCAGTGGGCTCCTTTCCTCAGTTTTGAAAACCATGGTGACGTGATCAAGAAGTGTCGAAAGGGGGAGCTTCCCTCCGACCCCTGCCATCACTGTACGTCACAGCCTGGGGCTCCCCGTGCCAGCGAGGCCCTTCCTACACCTCCTGCCCCGCCTGTGAGCAAGGCCCGTTCCTCGGGCTGCCCTGGGCCTGGCCCTGAGCTGTGAGCCCTTCGGGTCCATGCAGTTCTGTTCTGTTCTGTTCTGTGCCTCTGGTGACCCGGGAGGTGGCAGCACCCTCGCAGCAGGTGGCCGCCAGAGCTGAGTCACTGCCCTGGGAACCGTGCCCTGGTGAGGCCGGCTCGGGAGCCCTCGGTGCCTGCCCGCGGCGAGAGCAAAGGGCTGGGGCTCTTCCTGCACCGAGGGGGCCACCGGGCTGGTGAGGAAGGGAAGTGAAGCCACTTAAGGAGCCGAGAAGGCAGGTGCCCCAGCGGCAGGCTCCGGCTGATGACGGTGGCCAAGCACAGAGCGTCTGCTCTCGCAATGACAGTGATGGCCGTGGCTGTTGTATTTAAACCCTCCAAAACCACCCATTTAGGGATAGCTTTAAAAATGGGGTGAAGAGGCTCTCGATGCTTCAAGGTGCTCTCTGGCCTGTGAATTAAGGGAGCGTAAGCAATGAAACGATACAGAGAGATATCTAAGCTGTTGATACTCTAGGAAAATGAGCAACTGAGGTTGAGGGTTTTAAAAAACGTACAAGTTTTTTACTATTCATAGGTGCTCTGATGGATGCTGTGTTTAAAAATAATGCTGCTTGTATTTCATTTCCAGAAGACAGACATGTGGTGTTGCTTTTGAAAGGAGGTTTTTAAAAGGAAAAGGAGAGCCTGGTTTGTTGACTACACCAGGGAACAGAGGTGACCTCAGTCTGGAAAACCAGCTGGCCCCCACCTCTCCGTGCCCCGCAAAACAAGCCCTTTGTCAAGCAGCAAAAGGCGGGCCAGTCTGAGCAGCAAGTCATCGTTTCAGCTGACCAGGATTCTTCAAGAAAACAAAGCAAGAGGCGCCCTGCGTTTTCACAGCTGAACAGAGCTCTTAGGAAACGCCGACAGCTCACTCAGCGCCCACGAGGCCATGAGAGCGTCTGGTGACCATTAGTCAGGGGCCTGAACGCAGAGGCTGGGGGTGGGTTAACCGTGCCGCCACCGCGGCCAGCTTGCAGAATTGGAGAGAATAGAATCACAGCTCTTGCTTTTTGAGCACGGAACTTTTTAACTTAAAAAAAGTTTAGCCCTAGCTGGTTTGGCTCAGTGGATAGGGCATCAGCCCTCTGTGTACGATTCCAGTCAAGGGCACGTACCTCGGTTGCAGGCTCAATGGGGCCCATGCAGGAGGCAGCCAATCGATGTGGGTCTCTCACATGGTTGTCTCTCCCCATCCCTGCCACTCCCTCTAAAATCCCCTGTGAGGATTAACAACAACAACAAAAGGGTTTTTTTACACATTACGTGCCCAGTTAATTCTGTGGAACTGAGGAATCCCCGGAGGCAGAGGTAACCGCCCGCGCTCTGGGTGTGTGCCCTGTGACCACCCGGGGCCGAGGAGGTTGCCTTAGGTCGGGGGAACTGTGAGTTGTCAGATAGGCTTCGACCTGCGACCGGAGGTGCGCTCTCTCCTTCCGCTTCCTGTTTGCTTCTCACGAGTACTGTACGGATGAAAAGTCAGCCACGCAGAGATACGGACAGTCAAAACGTGTCCTGGTGTTTCTGAGGCATAAGAACGGAGGCAGATTCTACCAGAAACCAGACCATTTCGGGGCCCTGCATCTATATGATTCCAGATCAGTGAGGCCTGAACCGAAATGCATTGGCAGTCCGAGGTCAGTTGATTCTAGAAGCCACGCCAGCCCAGAGACTCACTGGAATTTGGGAGGGCAGTTTGGAGAGAGGATCTTAAGAAGAGGGAAGCTTTAGTCTTTGTTTTTTGACTTGTGTGGGGTAGGAGAGCTGACCTGCTTTTGGATAGAATTGGCAAATAAGTCAATCCCGGTGACCCTCCCGAGAGATCAGCAGCCAGTTGAATACGCCGACCTTTAGGGAAGTGCGTGAACAGTACCGTGGTGCCAGCACCAAACACCGGGCAGCACGCAGGTGCGGGTGGGTTAAGGGCAGGCGGCGGTGAGAGCTCTGCCCGGGCGCGGTGTGTTTATCCTGCCCTCTGAAGTCGGAGCCAACATTCTGGCTGGTCTTGAATGATTGAGAATGTTTCCCTCTCGGCAGGTCGCCGTCCTCACACGGGCTGGTGACTAGAACCCCTTAGGTGAGGTCCGAGCAGAAAGCAGCCCGACGCCCCAGTCGTGTTTGTTTTAGAGCAAAGGCGAAGCCGTGAAACACAGCTTGCTTGTTCCAGGGGTGAAGAGCCGGACCTGGGGGCCCGGGGCTGCCAGACACCGGGGCGGGAGGGGAGGCCTGTCGCCCAGGCCCCTCTGGCCGCCCGGCCCCTTGTCCAAACCTCGGGAGGGGGTTCCGAGGGGCCCTCGGCCTCCAGGCTGCGAGGCCACCTGCCCTTTGAGGAATGTTAATGACGTGGGTCAGAGGGAGACCGTCACTTACCCAGAAGGAAACCAGCCAGTGAGGTACTTGTCGTCGTGGCTTCTCCCACACGCCTGGGTCGGTGCGGTGACCTAGCTCCGGGCACCCACAGGAGCGATAGCATTTCTGTGTTTGCCCGGTCACAGGGTTTGGTGCCCTCCCTCTCTCTCTCTTTCCAGATGGGAGCCACACCGGTTCTTAAGAAACAAGCTGAACCCTTCCCGCAGGAGGGAGAGTTGAGCAATGTTCTGAGAACACGCTGTTCTGGGCCTGAGGAAATGCTGTCTCTAGAAGATGCTCTAGACATAAAGGGGGCAGGGAAAGCCCAGGACAGGGAAGCAGGCAGAGCCTTTGGGACAGCAGGTGCCAGCCCTCTTTCTGCCCGGCTGAGGCCTGGAGGGGGCTGCCCCCCCCCACACACACACACAGTCCTGATGGTTCTTCTCTGGACCCCACGCCACCTCCACTGTCCACAAGGGCCAGACAAAGGGGCACGCAGGGCACCACAGCCCCAGCCAGCACCCGCCTAGCCGCTTCCCCGGCCTCTAGGGAGACGGTGTGGCCTTGATGGCACCAGGAGATGACGTCGTTCACCTGAGGAGGGAAAGCCCATCCAGGGAAGAGGCTTTGCCCAGATCCCGCCCGGGGAGTGGGCCTGCGTTCTCCTGCCCAGGTGCCCGGGCAGCTGGCCTGCGCTTCATTACGGTGGCGGCACAGTGATTACACACCCTTTTCCCTCCGAGAGCGTAAGTATTCAGGGAAGCATCTCCGAGTGGGCCTGCGTTCTCCTGCCCAGGTGCCCGGGCAGCCGGCCTGCGCTTCGTTATGGTGGCGGCACAGTGATCACACAGCGTTTCCCCTGAGAGCGTAAGTATCCAGGGAAGCATCTCCAGGGATCTCCTGGGAGGACTGTCCCTTGTCCTGGGAGAAGCAGCGGCACGGCCCCCGGTCCCGCCCCCGTGGAGGCACAATCACCTGTGTTTACCGGCGACCAGTTTTGGAGATAAGGAGCCACGTGTCCGCCCGGCACCAGCCGCCTCCTCCAAGGCAGGCGTGGGTTCTAGGAGGAGCCGAGGAGGAGGACTGCCGGCCGCCCCCAGGCCTCTCTTCCCGGGCGGGGGCCGCGGGCCGTGGTTCCCACGCGTCACAAGAGCGAACACCCCGGCTCTGCCTGGTGAGATGGGGGCCTCGGTGTTGGGGGCGGGGGGTCATTTAAACCCGCCTCCGCTTGGAAAGATTCTGCTTTGTTCCGTGTGTGTGCTTACTGTTCTAATCTAGCAAATGTTTCCCATTTAAGTCTCGGGTAAAAGTTTCCTAACAGAAAATTACACAGAAAGCTGGAAAGTGAACTAGAAAGCGTGTGTTGTTTTCTTCTTCAGCACGGCCCTCCCCCTCGGCGACTCCTTTCCCATGAGAGGCG